CTGGAAACTGCTATGAATAGGAAGGGTCTTATTGGTCATGAAAATGGAGAAAAACAGAGTTGTTGGAGGCAACAGTGCAGTGCTCTTACAAGAATTATCTGGGCTTAGCTAAACTCACCATATGGTTCTTTTGGCAAACCTTTCCCTTTGGTGTGTAAGGAGGGCCTCAAGTGATACCTGCCAGGCCTTTTGTAGGAACAACCAACTCCTCTCATTTGGATTCTTTGCCTTCCCAGACAAATGTGATGTCTGGTGGAACGTGAAGGAATGAGACCCATGGGGGCCAATGCTCAGGGCGGCAGATCCATGTGTTCCAGACTGGCTGACACTCAGGGATTCTTACAAGAGTTAGCTGGCATCCTGACACCCAGATAACTCTGAGGGACATATTCAGGGCAGGTTTCTGAGTCCTTGTGGCTGAGAAACAGGCCCTCCACTGTGCCTCATGTACTAGGAAGACACCCAGCATGCTAATGACAAACCTTTTCAAGCTTTCAATGATACAAACATCCCACTGCAGCACACATGCCATAGGTTTGCCACCACTGACTTAGGCAAACCTTAGGAACACCTGCTAGGGACAAGGTACAAACTCTGAAGAGTTTTCCCAATCTGCATGTGCTAGAAAAGTAATGCCACTTGTGGTGATTTGAACTGTTTCTCTTATAAGAGCCACAGCCTGATAATTTGTTAAAAGACTATCTTTCAGAAACATTATCAAGACACTTATTCTAATTTTTGTCTTTAATAACAGTGAGGTATTGTTCCTGCTGTTCTTTACAATTCAAGTTCCTCATTATCTTTCAGTAACAATTACAGGGATGCTTCATTAGAGGTCTCGGAATATTTAATCTTTCCATTCTGATGCTCAGTTTTACTGTTGAGGCTCAAAACAGACAGCCACTGAATCTAGGGTCTCTCATAAATAGCTTACATAATTGTTCTAAAATGTGCACTCTCCTGGAATATCTTGAGGAAAAGCCCCAAATCATTTGTCGCCCTGGGGAAGGAGAATCTACTCCGTGTTCCCAGGAAAAAAGACCATCGAGAATTCCAACAGGCCTGGTGGTAACTGCCTGAGCCTAGGGCCCCTCTCCAAATTACACCAGCCTCATCAACACGCTCAGATGATGTCTACTGAGTCAAGAGGCCTGCTGTGCAAGAAACGCCTTTTGCTTCTGTCTACCCTAACCATCACAGACTGTCCTCTTTTCTGAGTGATTGACTATAACCCTAGCCACTGGCAAGACAAGACGACATCTGCTCAAACCAGTGCCAGAATGTTCCAGACTGTCATTCACATAGTGCCTGCATGTTGATGATTCTAATCATCTTTACAGTGTCAACTGATCAAATGACAGCTTTACCACTAGTCACGCTGTCACCAACACACCAGTGTTAGGGGTGCAGCAATAAAGGTTGGCATAACAACCAGTGCAAAGCTGGTTGGCTGGTTTTATAGGCCAGAGGAGATAAAAAAAGAAAGTTATACTTTGAATTTTTTAAAAGCTAACTGTCCTATTATACAATCAATTTTCAGCTGTAGGTATTACTTTATCTGACAGGTATGACTATTGTTTCCCTAAAATTGGGTTTTCTACTTCGTAGGGACAAGGTTAAAAGATTTCTTATCAAAGAGATGGTAGCTGCTTGTCTGGGGCAGGAGAGATGCCCTAGGGCTGTAAAGAGCATGCATGTCCCAACAAGCAAGCCATGCGGAACCCACTCATCACCGACAACTTCACTCTTCTAGTGGAAGCGCTTCCTTTAGTGCCTTATATAACACACAGCTTCTAGAAAAGTACACTACAGTCAGTCTTGCTTGAGTGAGTTTGTTGTCCCACTTTTTTTTTTTAAAAAAAAAGGCTAGAAACTAAAAGGCAGGCAGCCGCAATGGAGCTCAACTGCAGGTTTCATCTATTTGTTAAAAGAATGATCCAGATTCCACCTTAGTCCTCAAAAGCATGCTGCCTATTAACCATAGAAAGGATAACTATGTGAGGTAATACATGTGTTAATTAGATAGATTTAGTCCTTCCACAGTGCATACATACAGTCATCTCTTGGACTCTGTGAGGGACTGGTTCCAGGAACCTCTGTGGATACCAAAATCCATTAATATTCAAGTTCTTTATATAAAATTTGTATTGTATTTGCACATAACCTAAGCATGTCCTCCTATATACTTTAAATCATCTCTAGGTTATTTATAACACATAAAGCAATACAAGTGTCATACATATAGCTTTTGTACTATATTTTTAGGGAATGACAATTTAAGAAGTGTGTACGTGCTCAACAGAGATGGAATTTTTAAAAATATTTTTGATTCGAGGTTGGTTGAATCCGGGGATGTGGAACCTACAGATAAAGAAGGGTGACTGCACCTCAAAACATCATATTGCACATGGTAAATACATGCAATTTTTCTGTCAATTTTAGAAAAGCAAACCATACTATCTCAATGACCAATAAGGTAGAAAATGTCAAGCAGGATAGCATATTTCCCAAGATTCTTTGGCCAAAGAGAAAGGAGTCATCATGAAGGTTTTAGTGTCCCAGTGTTTTCGGATGTTACCGTCTTTTACCAGGCACTCAAAGACAGCTAAGAAGCCTGCAATAGGCAGTCTGGCTGGACCCTTGTCTCCACTCACTCAGGATCACACTTAATAACCTTTCAGAAATGTCTGACAGGTCTTGAACACCAGTACTACTACCTAAATCTAAACCCACAAGGATAACAACTTGTGTGTACAATTCACTTCCAATCAACCACCATGACGGCCAGCCCTGAGAAAAAACTCAATAAATACTGAGTAAATGGATGAAAATAGAGTAGAACATGAGCAGTAATATAAATGTGTTTTGTATGTCACTGGATGTCTTTTAATGGCTATTCATCAAAGTTTTTAGATGCCTTTGAATTCCTGTAGAAACTAACCAAGACACAAGATGCTTGTGTTGATTTGATCAAGGTGAAGCAAAAAGAACCAGACTCAGCCATCTAGCTCTGCTTCACAGTTCTGTTGTAGCCTTTGCCCTACTCCATGGTAATAATAATTATGATGATCAGGATGGTTCACCTACACAGGACATAACCAACTTCTAGACACTGTGCTAAGGAATTCATGTACATCATCTAGGTCGATCTCCTCAACTGTTCAACAGGATAGTATAATTATTCTCCACAATTTTATGAAGCAGAATACTGAGGCTTGGAGACACTCGTGACATGGCCCTGGCTATAGAACAAGTGACTGAGGAAGGATTCAAAGCTATAGAACAAGTAACAGAGGAAGGATTCAAATCTAGGACTGTCTGATACCACAGCCTACAACAGTGGGGATGAACCAGTGGCACATGTGCCACAGCTGGCTATTTTTTTATCATTGTAAGCTTTACAAGTTTCACCATCACTGGCCTAGCGTCACAACCACTATACTCTACAAACGTTTGCTGAAATTCATTCCTGAGTCTCATTATTTCAAAAATTTTCCTAACCAGCCATTCTTATTCAGAATCTTTCTTAGTAACTGATCTTACTGTCAATTGACAATTTACCATGGCCACAGTCATTAGAAAAAAATGTTTCAAGTGATTCTGCTTGGTAAAAAATTCTTTATTTAATAATGAGTTTTTTATTGTGTGAGCTTATTCCCTCCCTTAAATATGGGGGGAGGGGATGAGTGGAAGGTGGACTGTCATCACTCAGATAGATATCTGTTGTATACCAGTGTTTCCCAAACATCAGTAAGCAAACAGATCATCTGAGAATCCTGTCAAAAATAGTTTCTGATTCATCAGATAGATGGTAGGATGTAAGCATCTCTACTGACCTCTCAGTTTATACTAATACTACTGATCTATGGGTCACACTTTAAGGATTAAGGATCTAGAAAACATTGGAAAACAAAGACTAGATTCTTTAGCACCAAAACTCATACTTCAAGAAAGAATAACAGTTATACAACAGACCATTCTTCACCCAAACAATACAAGACAGCAAGCTATCAAAAGACATAAAAAGTGTATCTCCAAGCTTCAAACCCATCTGAAAATCTACAAGGCATAATCTTGGAAGATTACAACACTGGCTAACTTCTTAATCAATTACATTCATTTGTTTAAACAATACATGCATCATTAAATGCTAGTTTATTATCTTTGGCTATCAGTCTACCAGTACTGTAGTTATCCTTTCCACACCTAAGTTCTATTGGAATGAAAATGTGTCAAAATCAAGTTTGGCATGAAACCAGTTATTAGAGCCTCCAGGCCAGGAAAGTCACCAATAAGCCTGAGCAAAGAGCACTGAGGTACAGAATAGGATGGATAAACCAAACTGCTGCCCCTTTACATTAAATTATCTGCAGCTTTTCAACATTTCTTATTACATCACTGGTGAAGAAACAGTACATGTGGAGTGAAGCAAACAAAAATGGATTGGCCAACTTAAAGTAGCATTATTGAAATGTTTCGCTCAAAGAAAGAGGAAACACAGACAAGAAGTGTCTATGTAAATATACATGAATCTGTATATATCTACACAGAATGCATATAGTATAGGAAGGTTAGCAGGCCTCATTCTGCATAACATGCTTTTTAGTAACTTCCATAATATTAGCGACTTCACCACCCCCAAGGACTATGCTATGCAGGATACAGGCCATCCACTTACTGAACAGAGTACCTAGGACTTTCACACTTTATTTGGGCACTCGAATATGCCATGTACTATATTAAGTGCTTTACTAACATTATCTTGTTTTCATATGCAACTCTAAAATAGTGATCATTGTCAGCAGCTGGAAGATGAGGTCTATAATAGATCTGTTATAAGACATAGGCAGTAAGGGCTCAGAACCCAAGCCCATCAACCATTCAAACACCAGTGTTCTTCAACATTACACCGAACATCCCCATGCCTCATCCTACTCGATCATAAAAAACACAATTCTGACAGCATTCAGAACACTGAGATCAAAGGCACAGACACTTACGTTTCCCTCCTTATCAAAGTCTGGTGGAAGTAACTTCACGAAGTTATCAGGGAACACTCCTCGTCTGCCGTTGAGCTCTCCTTCCCACCAGCCTACGTCGATGCAGTCCTAGAAACAGGAAAGTAGAGTCAGAAATGGGGGGAAGCATCCTCCAGAGAGGTCTGACATCCCTTCATAGAGAAAAGAAGCTGTCTTTCTGAGGCAAATATCAATAGACAATAGTTACTAAGTCAGCACAGACCCCAAAGTCAGAGGAGTAACAAAAGCTAAGGTGTGGCAGAGCTGCTAAATGGACCTCAAAACCAATGCTATTTTCAGATGCCCTGAGGCAATGGAGTCTTCTGTTTTATTTCCTTGAAGCTGAGAGAATATGTATTTTCTTCATTTCAATTTTACTGTAATAAAAGTATTTTTCATTAACTGCAAAGGTGACTTAGAAAACATCACACGCACAAATGTTTCCTTTGGTTAACCTGTCACAAAGCTTATCAAGATTAAAAAGGGCTTTGTGACAGTCAGCCATGCATAAGGAAAATCACACTTTACAAAGCTCATTAATACCCTGCTCTCCTTTCCCTTCTCCTTTTGATATTGATGGGGCACAGTTGTCACCATAAAAAGCCCTTCTTCCACCCTAGAGAACTCAATATTTGCTTACCAAATGGATGAAGAACCTCAATCACTGTTCCAGATCAAAACTGCTTCCCTTCGAATAATCTCTACTCTGTTCATTCATTAACTGAATACTTTATGAGTAGCTACACTATACCAGGCGCAAGAGAAGAGAGAAACCAGCAAGGCTGGCAAAAGTCTGGGCTTTTCCAAGCTTCTACTGTAGCCTCACAGTTATCTTGGGCCAGTGATGGCGAACCTTTTAGAGCTTTCAATGACCCAAACAGGCCACTGCACCATATGTGCCATAGGTTCACTGCCACTGACCCAGGCACTCAACCTCAGGTAACAAAACCTCTTCTAGTTTTTCCCCTTTCAATTGTTTAGAAGTCTAATTCATTTGTAATGAATTTGTCCTCTGGATCCTCAGGCTCCTCTGGGTCCAATACCCCTTCTATTGCATCCATGTACCTTCAATACCCATGGGATGGGGAAGGGACCAGGAGGGCACCAGCATCAGACATAGGACCAGGAGGGTCATGGTTTATGTGGCTCACTTTTGTTTTTCTAAAGCAGATATTCCAAGAGACAAGTTACACATCTGATTTTGTTTTATCATCATATCCTAGCCCTTTGCACAGTGTCTCAAAAAATAAATAGTATCTGTGGAATCAATGAAGACTTTTTCTAGTCCTGAGATCTGTAATCTCTCTAATCTAATATTTATATTACTCCAAGACAAAATGTCCTGTAGCTACCTGAATCCATGGGGATTCTACGTAAGTTAGCATAAGGTCTGCCTCAGGTGAGAAATAAATGATCACTATTTTCTCCTTCCCCAGTGCAATGTGTTATAAGGTTAAACTGATCACATAGAAAAGAATGAAGGTTGCACAGATTAGCTGTCAGTCACAGATATCTAGTCCTGATATTAAAAATAACAAATACATTTGGAGCAACAACTTCATATTTAATTAGAAAATGACAAGTCCCGGTATGGGGCTTAGTGTCTTCCACATTCTCACCCCCTAAAACAATCTGGTCCATGAAGAAAAGATTCACAAATGGCGGGTTTGGTAGTAGGATTTGGTGACTTCCAGTGTCTTTCTAAATGTCATCAACAATACTAGAAAAAACTTGCAAAGGAAGCAGGGGTGGAATTTCTTTACTCCTAATTCTTGGAAATTAAGTATTCGATCCAGAAGGTTCTGCTTCCAAGGAGATTCCTGGCACATCTTTTCCTTTCTTTCTGAATGGGTTCTGCTTTAAAACCCAACTTAAAACTCACATTTAGGAAAGTGACTATGATGAATGCCTTGTCTTTTCTCCAACACTCAGTTTTATACTTCTAATCTCATGATATTCCATTCAAGAAACATCTATTAAGTGCAAAATATATCTAAATTTTATAGGCACTACATTTTGGACATGCAGAGAACATGGTCCCTGTGCCTGCAATCTCAGAGATGTACATGAAAGACAGAAATACAGTATTCTGCAAGGCTCTTTTGGATAACAGGTATCAACTAAGAATTCTGGCACCAAAAGAAGAGAGAACTATCAATAACTTTTCAAATAAAAGCTTTTTTTGCCAGAAGCTGTAAACTCAGGGCCTTTGCACTGAGCTACATGCCCAGTCCTTTTTATTTTGAGACAGAGTCTCACTAAGTCACTAAGTTGCCCAGGTAGGGCTCAAACAAATGATCTTTTTGCCTCAGCCTCCCAGAGTGCTAGTATTATAGATGTATGCCACCATGCCCAGCTAAATAATAGTTTTAAATCTTCTCACATGTGAAGGGTTTGCTTATGAAAAACTGAACTTTCCTCCACATTTGGATTCACTTGGATCATCTAATACAGAATTATGTCTATGAAAGGAATACAAATATCATATAGTGCTATGTTTCAATCTTTCTAAATGGTGCAAAATGTTCTACCTTAACCTTATGTGAACAGTAACCCAAAAATTGTTTTGCGTCTTATGTTAGAAAAACAATAAATAGAATCTTAATAAGCAAAAGCCTATCCAGAAAAACTTGAGAACTCATGCAAGCCTACAGGGGGAAACAGTACACAATGACATTGTATTTATCAATTCTCCCTTTGGTGATGACTGGCGTAGATGGTCCATCTATGCTCCTTAAGGAAAACAGCACAATGCTAATCATCATGTAATTCAAAGCAAGAAAGGGAAAGCACAAAAGCAGAACACAATATGTCTAATTGTTCTGATTGGTATAATAATAAACACAAGGCCCATGGATGAGAGAAGCATGGGCAAAAAAGAAAACCACCAGTATGGCTGAGAATACTAAAGAGAAACAAAGGGAGAGGCTACCGCAGGACAGAGGCCAGGCGCAGGGTCAGGAGGTCTGGAGTGGGACAGAGATTCGCAGAGAACTGAGGCATCCCCCTGCCTCCAGGAACCGAAGCTAATTTAAGAGAAACAGGAATAATTTTGACAGTAGAATGAGAAGTGAATATAAGTCCTTTTCAACAAAGCAGACAAAAGAACAAGACTTCTGATGAAGAGATGCAGCTGGAATTATTCGTATGAGAGCTGTGCTTCTAGAAGTGGAAAACAGCAGAAAATTCAATGTATTTCTCAAGGACCTAAAATGTGCAAGATAGGAAAGGAATCCAGGGGAAAACAAAGAAAATCATCACATTTTCATGGGGCTCTCAAGCTCGGAGCCTCAAGGGAGAGGAAGATGCAGTGAACCAAAATGGCACAGAAACACCGGCAAGAGTGCTCAAAAGCATTTCAAAGCAAAGGGGACCAAGAGAAGCTAGGCAGCCTAAATGAGAGCTAGATCAGAGGTAATACAGATCAAAGAGGACTACTGAGTGTGAAGGAATGAAGTGGGAAAATGCAGAGCTCTGGTCATGGAAAAGAAAGTTCAAGCATTGGAGCTTCGAGCAAAGGTTATTAACCAATGTCTACTGAACAGTGATGGGAGGCGGAGGCAAAGAGGCACATATGAATGACAGGAGCAGGATGGATGGATGGGTAGTCAATGACTTGTAAAGTCACAATGTCATCAGAGTAGAAGCAGATGTCTCCAAGAGTCTACCGAAGGACTGAGGCAGTAGTTGACCATTGAGAAGAGAGATAATATGGCCAGAACACCAAATTTATTTCCAAACCTGGGATCCTATTAGTAATTATACTGGGGCCATAAGGATAGCCAAGAGGACAGCCACCCTAGTGGACTTTCAAACTCTATTAAAGACAAGAAAGTGGAGTGCAGGCAGGTAAGGGGATGGTGGGTGAATGCAGCAAGAGGTACAAACAAATTAAAGAGTAGCACATAGATGAAAGATTCTGGAAAAATGTTTAGAAATAAGCTCTACTGGCATGAATACAGAGGAAAGGAGATATGGAGCCTTATCAAGAGTCAAGCATATGGAAAGAAATTGTATTTCTGACATGGAATGTTTACTTTTCTATGATCAAGTCCTCAAAATGGTTATCACCAGGTACATATTAGACTAATTTATAGGACATTCTTCTTTATAAAGTGAAAATGCTGCTTTTCCTCATAGCAAATGAACTTACAGAGCTTTAAGGGTGCTATAGTCCAACCTCAACGTCCTTCACTATCTTGGACTCTCTTCTAGAAAAGCACTCAAAGCTGGGCATGATGGCTAATGCCTGTTGTAATCCCAGCACTCGGGAGGCGGAGGCAGGAGGATCACCATGAATTTGAGGCCAGCCTGGGGTATGTAAGCAAGTTCAAGGCCAGCCTGCATGACATAGTGAGATCTTGTCTCAAAAACAAACAAACCCCAGAATATCCCTACTAAGGGAGCACTCACTATGACATGGTGTAGACTTATTTTGCCTCACATGTTAAATTGGAACTCAGAGAAAGGAGAGAGGAAACATGGGCTATGTGGTACTTAAGCCATATACCACGGATGAAAACTCTCCAGATCTCAGTTTCCTGATACACATGAAAACTTCTGCAAGGTGAAAAGTACATATATGTTGGTTGTTGTGATTATAGGGATTGTACGGACTGAACCAAATCCACAAGGAATAAAGTGGCCAGGAAATTTTCATGTGATCCAGCACCATTCTGGGATACTGCTAAGGTGCTGCTACTCCCTCTGCCTTGGATGAACCAATTCTAGTCCCTGGCAGCAGCTCACACTTGGAGGGATGTCAAGGCCCTGGGGTGTGTCGGAAGGAGGCCATGCCTAGACTTCTTTTTTTTTTTTTTTTTTGCTTTTTCGGTTTTTTTTATCGGTACCAGGGATCGAACTCACGACCGCCTGCTTGCAAGGCAGGAACCATGCCTAGACTTCTAAGTCATGCATCATTCCATTGAATCCTGCCAGCACAGCCCCAGGTAACTGGGCTGAAGTACTCCTGTACTCCACATAGCTATTGTGCCAAGGAGCAGCTGACAGCAATTCCCTAACAGACACCTACTGGTATAGTGAGAGCCATGTGCGCTGGGAATCATGAGTGAGACTTGGTGTGTCTATGT